TGACCCAGAACTGCTGCTGGCATATATGTCCTTTGTATATTTTTCAGGGGGTTCTAGATTAGTATCACAACCCAATGCATGACTATTGATTACTCAGAATCAAATCCCATCAAATTCAACTAGACTTATTGTCAGATTGGTGTGTATATGGATCAAATAGCAGTGAAAATATGGATTCTGAGTGGATGTGTTGCTGTTTTGAGTCAGTCCTAGACACTTTTCAAAATTGTAATGAGAGGGAGGGATATTAGAGGCAAAGATGAAGTACTTTGGCCACATCGTGAGAAGACAGGAAAGCTTAGAGAAGACAATGATGCTGGGGGAAAAGGAAGGAAAAAGGAAGAGGGGCGACCAAGGGCAAGTTAGATGGATGGTATCCTTGAAATGACTGGCTTGACTCTGAAGGAGCTGGGGGTGGTGAGAGCCGACAGGGAGCTCTGGCATGGGCTAGTCCATAAGAGCACGAAGTCGGAAGTGACTGAACAAATAAAGAACAACAAAATGAGACATGGACAGAAAAGCACAATTTTATGAACTCTGAAGTATCTCCATTGATTGACTCCTCTAGGCATTCATGCTGACAGATATGCATGGTAAAACTGCCACATCATAACATTGGCATGTGATAATCCTGGGGAAATGTGTGCTGGAATATAAGCTTTCTTGATATTCTCTAGCTTATATAATTGGACAAATACCAGGAAGAAGGTAGACCGTACACTTAGTTGTCAATAAAACCAGAAATGCATTTGTTCTTATTCCAATAACCTTCCTGTACAACCAGTCTGATCTGCATAGTATACAGCAATTTGACATTACTTCTGTGATAAACACATTATTGCAAAACAGAATTGTTACAGAAAAACAGTCATGATATTTCAGATGACAAAACAGTCAATGCCTCAAGAAACATGTACCCAAATATGCATATATAATCATCTAGACATACTAAATTTATACTTGGACTTATGGATAAGAAACATAAGAGTAAGGGCCATAGTGAATCATTACACGATTACATAAGTATTTGCTTTGCAGTGGCACAGAACACCTTGTTTCTAAATGATAATGAATGGATGTGGCCATATGTTGCAATCAAGGAATTATCAATGTACCTTGGTAGAGGAAGGAAGGCTACTGAAAATGAACAACTGGAAAAAGTTGGTTTCCAGTAGATATGAAGGACCCCTGGTAGATGCACCTAACAGGAGCTGAAAATAGTGTTTTTGGCAACAGCATAAAAACATGATCAAGAGGTCTTTAATCTTAATTTCTGTGACAAGAGGCAAAGCAAAAGCCTGGATATGATCCAAGTAGTAAGGACAAGGCACAAGGGGAAAGGAAAAGGCAAGACATTACAGATGAAGTCCAGGAATCTGCAAGTCAATATGGCAGGGAAACTGGGAAGATGCAATAACCCTTCCTCTGTTTTCTATATATACTAATAACATACATAACATGGAAACTATCAGGATGAACTTGAAATACGTAAACAAGATGATATGCACAGTCTGATTGGTATTATTGTAACATGGAGGAATATCACTAAGAATCAAGAATCTCTCTTTTCCAAAAGGAATAGATCAAATCAGAACGACAAATGTAAAGAACTTACATAAAAAGAACTGAAGGATGGTAGTTCTGTTGAAAGCATTTCAATGAAAGAAGTGAGGAAAAACAAAATGATATTTCTGCACCAGTATGCTGTCAATGTACTATAAAGATATAGAAGATATAGAGGAAACTGCTTTTTAAATCGTGAATCCTGACTCCAAATTGGATCCCCTTTGCTCAGTGTTGGGGGTCAGGAAAATTTGGCCACAGTAAAAGGTTTCTGAATGCCACCCATTTATACAAATCTGTTAGCAACAACATGCGGTGCATACAGTGACCATTCCATAAAATGCTTCAGATGTAATCCACAAAAAGGACAATCAACCTGTTTAATAAGCATTGCAAATGCTGATTTATTTATCAGTAAATGTTTGATATCTATTTTATACACTTATATACCTGGGCTCACGCAAACATTTATAGGCCAGAAATGGATCATGAGTGGAAAAAGTTTAAGAAGCCCAGACATTGGACATGAGTTGTATTTTCATGATCCTAAAATGCAGAATGAATTCCATTTTCATGTCATCTGCTGGAAGTCCAGTTCTGATAAAAATGAAAACCTCCAATAAATTTTGTATTTGCTTTGCAACAAATTTCTCAGAAGGTGGAAAGATTGAAATGGGGCCAGGCCCTCAAGAACTAGTACTGAACAATAGGGAGTAATGATAGCTGAAGTTAAAGGGGCAGAGGCATTAGGGAAAAATTACGACTTTGAAAGATAATCTCATAATACCTTGGAAAATCAATAAATGTAAAGTCTGTTTAGGTACAAAAATTAATCAGAAACATATGTATAGAATTGGAGAGATCTGGCTTGCTAGAAGCACATACAGAGGAGACCTGGCTGTCTGAATAAATCACATGATCATAAGAATGTGAATGTCATCTTCAGTAGAAGCATATTCAAGGATATATAATGCGATATTCTGCATTAGTTGGCATAGGTTTGCAGTACTGTGGTCAGTTAAGACAGTATTGACAGTTAAAAGGCATTCAGAAAGAAACAACAAAGATGTTGAAGAACAACAAGGATATTCAAAGTCTGAAAACAAACTCCTGTGAGAAACAGTTAAGACAGTTTGGTATACAAGGTTAAGGGGAAAGCTGCCAGCACTATTTAAATTTCAAAGAGACTGATAAGAAAATGGAGCATACTTTTCTACATGGCTTCAGAGAGGATGACTGGAAATAATGTGTAGAAATTGAGGGGGAACAGATTTCAGCTAGACATGACAGTGAGAACTATTCATTAGTAATGCAGACCAATTTAGGGCATAGTGGGTAATCCTATGATGGGATGTATTAAAGCAGAGACTATCTATCAGAAGTGCTGTAAATGTATTGCAAATCCTGCATTGAGCAGGGGTTGGAATGAAGGCACCTTCCTATTGCACAATTCTATAGTTTGTGACCCATATACAAATTGCTTCCCAGTGTTTCCTCAGTGTGGAAAGTGCTGAATGGAAAGGAATTTGTGTCTTGTACCTGAGAAAATGAAAAATACAGTGTTACCTCACTTATTGCGGGGGTTCCGTTTCAGGACCACCCGCGATAAGTGAAAATCTGTGAAGTAGGGACGCTATATTAATTTTAATATTTATACATTATAATATATTTTTATATATTATTTTCTTACCCGAGCTTCCTTACCCACCTCCCGGCCCATCCTGAGGGCGCCTCCCTCCCTTCCTGGCCTCTGCAGACTCCGGCAGAACTACTCAAGCTACGCAGGCAGCAGGAGGTCAGGGAGGCAGGCCTTACCCGCCGCACCTCAGGCTGCCGCACTTTCGGGGTCCCTGGCCTCCACCGGAAATAAATATTTTATATTTGTAATTAATATTTCCAAAAACCCACAAAACAGTGAGTCCATGTAAAGTGAACCACGAAGTAGCAAGGGAACACTATATATAGAAACCCCTATTTCCCATCCTGCTGTTAAAAGACGTTGGAAGATGTACAAACCTGCCAACGTATACAGTTTAACAGACCACATTCTGTGTTTCTGAGGCCAAGATAAAGCAAATTGGAATTGAAAGCATCCTCCCTTCTTTTAATTGAAATCAAAAGATGCTTATATTCAGTAGCCTTAAATCCAAGATTCAAAAACTGTGGTTAAAGATTAAATCAACAATTGTTGACAGGCATGTCAGTTACTAATGTTACTACCTTGTTTCCCTGAAAATAAGGCATACCCATAAAATAAGCCGTAGCATGATACCTAAGCATTTGCGCAACATAAACCATATTCCGAAAATAAGACCTAGTGATAGGCATGGCTATGTAGCATATAAGGTTGGCTCCCCATAGGTTCCAGGTCATTCTGTGCATGCTGCAAACTGAGGCATAGAGGGAGACATAGAAAGTGAAAGTCTTCTCAGTGAAGTGAGGAGCAGGACGCTTTGCTTTAGTTATTACATGGGGAAGACGTAAAGATGTGGCTACCGTTTTACTCAGCACTGTGGGTCTCTCTCCCCTAGCACCAACTAGCAAAAGTCTGCGGGACTCTCTCAGGCCCCACAAACGCCAGGGAAAGAGGAAAACCTTCAGCAAGTAGTCTGATACTGAGCTCAGAGATATCATCCCATAAATGCAGATTGCTGTACCACACTGAATAAAAATAAGGAATCCCATGAAAATAAGCCATCGTTTGTCTTCTTGAGCAAAAATAAATATAAGACAGTGTCTTATTTTTGGGGAAACATGATAGTATTATTTAAAGTGACTGAAAATGCAGCAAGTTTTGTTTTCTTTTTCTGCTAACAGAAATCAATATATATATAGTCTTGATTTCTCATTAGCTACTTAGGCTACTTACATGAGAGCCACTGAATGACCTGAACAGGCTTTTGTTTGATTAGATGAGCAGAGCATTGTTTAATGGCCTAATTTCAAATCCTTGCTCAGTCCTGGACAACTTTGGATAAATTAAGGCTGATTCACAAGTTCATTCTTGGCATTAGTTAACAGTAGCATCAAGGATTGGGACACAGGTAAGAGTGAGCTATTATTATTTGACCACTGTAGAAAAATATTTCATATCACGACCACAAATGTAGTGCTTCCCAGTGAGATATTTACACTTTTGGCTAAGCATAAACAAGCATTATTCAGTAATCAAATAATGAGACAACATGTGACATACACACAAGTGTGAACAAGGGACAGTTTGAAATTACCCACATATCCATTTCTTATTGCTTTTTAAAAGGCCATAAATATAAGATCTGTAAAGCATACAAGACTCGTAAAGCATTTGATCACCAGATGCTGAACTCTACCAATTATTGTTTGCATCGCTGTATCTTAAACCAATTAATAATACAGATTGAGTATCCCTTATGTAAAATGTTTGGGATTTTGGATTCCCCCCCCCTCCAGATTTTGGAATATATGTATTAGCATATATGTATATAATAACAAACATAATGTATGTTTCATATACATACATAACCTGAAGATAATTTTATACAATATTTTAAAGCAAATGTGTCACTATCTCAGCCACCTATATGGACTATTTTGGATTTTGGAGTGTTTCAGAATTCCCGATAATGGATACTTAACCTATATCTACCTATATGGATCATATGCCCCATTAAATCTGTGTTGAATGGGTTGTCAGAGTGAAAACTGAAGACAACTTTAATGGTTGCATAGAAGAAAGTATTTCAGCAGGTGTTGCTGATTACCAGTGGTTATGTGACAAGCAAAATTAGCTGAAATTCCCTCTTTTACACAACCATTAAAGCTACAGTTTCATTCTGGCAACCCTAGTTTTAAGTGATGCTGGCTGTAGCCTGAAAATCAGGAAAAGGACTTGATCTAGGTGACAGGTATTACTTTCTGATCTTAGAAAGTGTGAAAGAACATCTAACAAGCATCTAACAGTGAAATAGAGAGGAGATGGAAGAACAGAAGGAAGAGATTTTTTTTAAAAAATAAAGCAAGAATATGAAAGCATTAAGAAAAGGGAAAAAAAGCTCTGCTAAGACAGAGATGATGTTAGATGTACCTGAGACTTGTATTCTGCTCTCCCTTCTTTTTATTTATTTATCGTGGCAGAAGCGAATTGAGGCAGTTGTAATGTATTTAAAAACACAAAGTTAAAACTTGGCATTATATTAAATGTCCTTTGACCATTAGCTGGCCACTTGGAGTGCCTATAAGAAGGTCTTCCATTACGCAAGTGACTTGCAGCATGCAACTAAACTCCCTTCTTTTGAGAAACAACATGAAGAGCAAGAAAGCCACCCTCCTGGGCTTGCAGTAATTCTGCTCTTTCCCATATCTCTGAGCATTACTGTAAATCCAGGAGGATGACTTTCTTGCTCTTCATGCTGCTATAATCTGGTAAACATTGCCATGGCCCCATTGTCATATGACAAGAGAACAACTTCAAGACATCAGAACAAGTATATGAAGCAGATTAGCTATGCTGTTTAATAGATATATTTAGTTAACAATACTCTAGCAAGAATAATAGTTTAACTCACTTTTACAGTTAAACGAAATTTCATTATATTTTTTCATCAGCATAGTGTAGGATGTAAAATAGGGTTTTCTACTGAGGATGGGCAAGGATGAATACCCATTCTCTTATCAGCTATTCACGTACCTTGCTCTATTTACAGGAGACATGTGAGATATGGGGATATTAGCTTAAAACTGTGGTCTTAGAAGGAAAACCACTGACTTTTTCTATGGCACTGGCTTCATTCTCAGTGTGATGGTTAGAGAAGGTCACACATTAATGATTTCAAATGAGCATGCTTTCACAATTCCAAAAAACAGGAAAGGAGAAGGAGATAGACAATATGGGAAACCAGGGGCCCTTCTACACAGCCCTATATTCCAGAATATCAAGGCAGAAAATCCCACATTATCTGAGTGTGGACTCAGATAACCCAGTTCAAAGCAGTTATTGTGGGATTTTCTGCCTTGATAATCTGGGATATAGGGCTGTGTGGAAGGGCCTCAAGATGAAAGGATATTTCTGGATGAAAGTGACATGAGATTTAGAGAGGAGAAAGTAAGGATAGTTTTAAAGGTTGAGTATCGTTTATCAAAAATTCTTGGGACCAGAAGTATTTTGGACTTTTGGAATACATGTATGTGCACATATGTACATCATGAGATATCTTGGAGATGGAACCCAAGTCTAAACATATTTCATATACACACATATTTATATATATTGCTTGAAGATAATTTTATACACAATACTTTATAAGTAATTTTGTGCATGAAACAAACTTTATGTACAGTGAACCATGAGAAAGCAAAGGTGTCACTACCTTAGCCACCCACGTGTAGATTTTTGAGCTGTTTTGGATTTTGGAATTCTAGATAAGAGATGTTCAACCTGTATTTTGTCTGCAGAGCTATACACAAATGTTTTTTCTGTATGGACATTCAATTGAAAAGAGAGCATGGAAAATTGACTACAGATTATAACTACATAAGACTGTTAGTTTTGTGTGGTGTCGCAATAGCAGATATGTGTGAGCCTTTGAGGAAAGACACTTGAAATCATATATTTGATCAGTCTCGAAGCTAATAGCTTGGCCTTGGACAAAGTCATTTTAGCTTGCCTGGGGACTGATTATAAGGTTAATGTAGTGACAGGACAGTATAACATCAAAGACAGTACCCTGAACAAGTTGGAGAAAGAGCAGGATATCGGTGTAATAATTTCATGTTAATTTACCCTTCATTTGAGATTTTATCCTTCACAGATTAATGAGTAAGCATGTCCCCTTATTAGGAGAAATGATCAACTGGGACTTGGATCAGTTACACTGTATCACTGATATTGGGAAATAGCTTTTAGGAAGTGATACTGTCCTCATGGTGTTTTCACAATGAAGTCTCCAGGCAAGATGCCCGGCGGAGGCAGAAGTGCCTCCCTTCCTGCCCTTCCGACCGATGAACAATTAGCACTGGGAAAAAACGGGCATCCTGATAAGTCGGTGGGTTTTCATTGACAGCCAGTTGGCTAGAGTGGGAGCAGCACTGTTCGTCCTGACAGCCACGATCGGCAATGCTGCTGCTGTGACTCCTCCCGAGACCTGTCCTGTGAGAGCCATGAACCCGGCACAAGGAGAAGTGACTGGTGTTGAGAGAGAACTGTGAGTTTCCACTGCAGCTGTGGAAAGCGTGGCGAGAGAAGATGGAGGAGGTACTAGAGGCATGATGGCAACGCTCACAGCCACGAGTAATTTCACTGTATCTGCACATGGAGTAGCCATTGCACATGGAAGAACTTGTCAAGTTCATGAGCATGGCTTCTGAATAGCTGGGAATGAGCTGGCGATTGGTGCAAATGTGCCACTCAAGTTCAGTGCTGTCCTGAGTGCTAACTCTGGGTATGCGATATCTGTACAAGGGCTCCTCTGCCACAGTGGGCACTCTGTACTCCACCCCAAGGAGCTTCTCCACATGGTAGTGTACATATGCAGTCCGATACTCTATGAAAACTCTCAGTGGCCATGAAATCATCAATAAAGCAGCCACCCAGAAAGCATAATGGGAGATGTACCATGGGAGATGATCTGGGTCCCCATAGGCCATCATGAGTTCCTTGAAGTCTATATTTTTGAGCTTCATTCCTTCTCTGACTTCCATGTAGTCATCCAGCCCTTCGATTTCTGTGAAGAAATGAGTTCTCTGTGTGAGGTAAGAATTCTCAGACTCTGTGTTGGCAAAACTGAAACACTTGCTGAACTTTAATTTTGTGGCTGAATACAACTCCAGGCCCATGAGTTCCTTAGAGATGTCCTTGAATCCACAGTTGGAATAATCAAATTCAGCTTCAGCCACATGGGTGTTGACTCTTTCGTGGTAGACCTGGGTGGTTGTATAAGCATCCCCATTACGGTATCGGGTCACCTGCCGAGTTCGCCGGACAAAATGGTAGCTTATGGCTTTCCACCATATACACGGGGTTGCTTGCTTCATTCTGGCAATTCGGTCATAGACACTTTCCACATCAGCCTTGTACTGAAGTTCACTTTTGGTCCGGCAGTGCCAACATTCCACCAGATAAACCACATACAGCATTGTGAGAAAGGCTAATGGGATATACACATAGCCATCAGAGCAAGGACTGTCATGGTAAGTCATAGATTTACCTTTGAAAGAGGTATCAAAACTGAGTTTAGTGACTTTGGTGAGTTGGCACCAAGTGACAGCCCCCAAGCACACATACATAAGGATGGAAAGGAGGAGGCACTTCCAGTGGGACTCTCTGCACATGGAGGAACTCAAGGACTGCTTGACAGGCCGCTGCTGAGAATGACATAGGATAAAATGTGGTCAGGGGAAGGGTGGAGAGGGAGAGGAGGAGGAGGAGGGAGAGGAGAGAAAGAGAGAGAGAGAGAGAGATTTGTTAGATCATTCAAAGTACTACCAGTATATTCAGTCCTATAGGGGTGCTACAAATTGATGTCGGGCTTTGTGAAGTGTATTGATATTACTATCCTAGGCAGTGTGTAATGGCGGCTGGTTCTCCATCAGTTCATTCTATATAGTTGTGGGGAGGTTAGCTTGATTCTTAAAGTAAAGTGGGTCACGGCACAACCATTTCTTGAAGTCACATATTTTGTTGTAGGAACATTTTATTTCAGATTGCTATTGTTCATTCGTTCAGTCGTTTCCGACTCTTTGTGACCTCATGGACCAGCCCACGGCAGAGCTCCCTGTTGGCCGTCACCACCCCCAGCTCCTTCAAGGTCAATCCAGTCACTTCAAGGATGCTATCCATCCATCCATTTCAGATTACACAAGTTATTTGTTATTTATAGGTTCCCTCCAATTGCTAAAATGAAATGAAGCAAAGAATTGAAGCAATGAAGATTTTATGGGTAGCCACTCCTGGTTACCCGAAGTTTTTTCTTCCTTCCAATAGCCCAACTAAGGTGAAAAAAGCCACTTGCTGTTGCTGTTGACACTGGAATTCAGAAACTGATGCTGATGTGCTTCATATCACCCAATGATCTACCAGGTGAGCCCATTCTACCCTCTGTCCACACCTGGTTTAGAGAACCTGAGGGCCAGAATACTGATTTCACTGATAGACATTCCGAATAACTCCACCCTTTACTAGAATTAGTACTGAACCAGCTGAATTGAGAGACTGTGCAATGCTACACAATATTTTATTTTTTATCTATAACTAGTATACATTTTCCAGATTTCTTTGTTATGTTATAGCTTAATGAGATATATTAAAGACTTCTTTAATACAGTAGAGTCTCACTTATCCAACCTTCGCTCATCCAACGTTCTGTATTATCCAACGCAGTCTGCCTCCTGCCCGGATCCACAACTGTTTCAATACATTGCAATGTTTTGGTGCTAAATTCATAAATACAGTAAATACACAACGTTACCGTGTACTAGACTACTTTTTCTTTTGATTTGTTGTAAAACATGATGTTTTGGTGCTTAATGTGTAAAATCATAACATAATTTGACATTTAATAGGCTTTTCCTCAGGTAAAGGTTTCCCCTGATATTAAGTCTAGTCACGTCTAACTCTGGGAGGTGGTGCTCATCTCAATTTCTAAGCCAAAGACCGCCGTTGTCTGTAGACACCTCCAAGGTCATGTGGCCGGTATGACTGCATGAAGTGCCGTTTTCCTTAATTCCTCATTATCCAACATTTTTGCTTATCCAACGTTTTGCCAGCCCATTTATGTTGGATAAACGAGACTATACTGTACTATGTTTTATAACTGAGCCACTTAAATCAATATTGTTTCTTAAGAACCAAGTACCTTGTACAAGGATTTCTCTCATGCCTCTGATTTGAAATGTGGGGGCTCAAACCTACAATGTTATGTAGGGCTGTGATGGACCCTTTCAGCCTCACACTGCCTCTCTATCCTCCAAGATCTTGCACTGGGCATTTTTTCAATCTGTCCATTAAGTCATTAACTCAGTGGCCATGACTGTTATTGAACCAGTCTTTATAATAGTAGCTAAAAGGTTCCCGTTGGCAGTTCAACAGATCTGACATCATTTCCCTTTTAAGCAGGCAATTAAAACTGTTCTTTGGAGGACAAGCTTTGGTAATTAGCAGTGAGTTTAAAACTCTGCTGTTTTAATTTACTCCTTCTTTGTTGTATTTTTCATATAGCGTGCATACATTGTGTTTGTGCATTTGCATTTTGCCTTGTGAATCCCAAATGACAAAAAGAAATATACACAAATTAATCAAGGCCTATCTACAGGGACAACAAAATAGTTTTCACTTCATATTGGACCCTGTCCTGGCACATTATGTTCTTCACAATTTGCATTCCAACTGGTTCTTTGGTCATTAAATCGCTTTCAAAAGAATGGCCTTTTATAATTCATTGTGGCCAAAGATCCAGATGCGTTGTGGGTTATTTTCATGCAGCCATCCCCAGTAAGTGGCTTCCCATCGGAGTTGAGGAGGAGTTTGGTGTGGCCTGGACTGGTTGGTGGAAGCTGACAAGGTCAGGAAGTCATATGATTATTGCCACCAGGGAAGTGGGTTTGGTCACATTTGATTTTTTTTTAAAAAAAATGCTACCATTAAGACACTCACAACATACTGGTATATCAGTATTAGTTCACTTCTGTATATCCAGATGGCTAAAGACATTTTAGGCAGAAATATGTACATTCCCATGAATTCCATAAATAAAAAGTGAAGCAACCACTGCCATGTGGCCACCAATTGTATGGATAAGAGGTGTGTTCCAAAAGCAAGTTTATATCAAAGCATTTTTACCCAGGGGACACGTGTGGCTGCTTAAAAAGAACTTACCACCATATGGCACTAATGAGGAAAATGTGGGGTCTATGCGGCTGCTTAAGATGCACTTTCCACAATATGGCACTAATGAGGAAAATGTGAGGATCTATGTGGATTGGGAAAATGCACTGTGAATAAGGATTCTTTTCAGGTGTAGAGAAGCCCTCAGACACTATTCTAGGATACACTTGGCAGGAAATCCAAACTAGCATCTCATCTGAAAACACTAAAGAAACATTTGTAGCCTGTAACTTCTCAAATAATCCAACCATGATTTAATGCAAAATGAGTTAATTACTTGTGCTCACGTCGGGGTTCAAATCTACCCCTGCTAGAGTGGGAAAATTATTTTGAAACTCACTCAGACATTAAAATGCAAACCCATTATTATTCTGTAGGCATAAGAGAAGTCCATAGATACAGGATCTCCATATGCATGGGAAAGCTGGAAAATAAAGATGTCGTATCTGCATTTCGGCAGCAAGTAATCTTGGCAGAGATCTCAAAGCAACTGTACAAATGATGTACAAAGAAATCCCTTGGAAATTTCCCAAACTCCCAATGTTGCATCTATTCAGAGCAATGTGAAATGAGTATAAAGGGTCATTACCAACTCTGGCCTTAACTACACTGCTCTATAATCCAGTTTCAGAATGGAGGAACTACAAGCACTTCATAGGACAGTTTTCTATTGGTCAGTCCATCTCCTGATAATTATAATATCGTTGTGTTTATAATTGATCTTTTTTCAAAATATTGCATGTATTACATTCATCACAATGTCTGAAATTTATCTTTTTTATCCTGCATTTACAATATTAGTTTTTGCCCTTAACAAAATATATAGGGCCCCCTGGTGGTGGAGTGGATTAAACCGCTGAGCTGCTGAACTTGCTGACCAAAAAGTTGGCAGTTCGAATCCAGGGAGTAGATCAATAGGTACTGCTTTGGTGGGAAGGTCATGGCACTCCATGCAGTCACACCAGCCACATGACGGACAATGCCGGCTCTTTGGCTTACAAATGGAGATGAGCTCCCCCCCCCTCCCACCCCAGAGTCGGACACAATTAGACTTAACATCAAGGGGAAACCTTTACCTTTACTTAGAATATATACATTTCAAAGCTCTTTATCCTGCCACAGGGGATTGCATAAGGATTGTTACATACTATTATAAAGGCGCAATAAATAAATCCACTGTTCCAGAATCTTATACAACACTTTCTGGGAACAAATCATTAAAATATAATTAATATGTTAATGAGATCACTTTCATTTGCATCACTCATTATTTGTTTACTATGTATGGTGTGAAACCTTTTGATATAGTACATTGTTCAGGTAGATAATTGAAAGTGTAATTGTGCCTTCAATATTTACAAGTGCTCCACAATAGCCAGATTTATAAGTGGAATTTCTGGTACCGCTTCTACACACACTGCAACACTGGCAACTAAACTCAGAGTCTGATGTACATGATTTAGCACGTTAAAGAAAGTACCTCGTGCCCAATTAAGCAACTGTTCTTTCCAAGAAACACCTGTTAAGGCTTAGGCATGCATTCATTTGTAGCTTATACAACATCAAAGCCCCAGATTGCTTGCACAACTCTAGATACTACTTTTCATTATACAAAGTTTCAAAAGACTTATCAAATTACTGGTACCCAAGATCAAGAACAGGAGAGAGTCGCCTTCATTGCACCTGCTACCAGAGCTTGTAAGTACATGTCTTGCTGAAATACAGCTATGCATATAAAACAGAATATACATGAGTCTTGATTTATATAGGGGCTGCATTACTCAATTCACAACGTAAATTCCTATTGATATAAATGGGAGAGCCAGTCACATAGGGAAGCACTGGATCCCACCTAAATTCTCACTCTTTGCTGTTCTCAAAGATGGAGCTGTTCTTTTTTGAATCAGAATTAAGGTACAGTGCTTACATTGACCTGTGGATAAATCAACTGGGATTTTTTGGAACAATTTTTGACTAACATTTTTAGATTTACACATAAAATATACAGTAATCACTGTTGCTGATATTCTGGAAAGTGATCTGCTCTTAAACAGAAAGTGATCTGCTCTTAAATTTTCTGGAGTTAATGTGTAAGAAGTGGCTTTCTCTTCCTCCAAATCTCCAAACTTCTTCTTTCTAATTAGCTGTAGAGGAACTGGAAACTGGAAAAAAGTAACCAATTTCTACCTCTGAGTTGGCAGATAGCAGGTGAGGTGGCTTTTACTGCCCAGAAAAGACATTTCTCTGTCTGTCTAGACCAGTGGTTCTTAACCTGTGGGTGATGGACCACCAGTGGGCCGCAAGGACGAAATTCTGGTCCGCGAGCCTCCTTCCTCTTTATTTATTTATTTATTTAATTTCTGCTCCTTTCACACCGCCTGCCACTCCTTCCCTGTTGCTGACCATGGCATATGTTCTGTATCAGAAACTAGAGCTGATGGAGTCTATCCAATGCAATTTTCCGAATCAGCACCCCAAACCA